ACTGTTACTGGCTGTGTTTCAATATATGTCGGTCCAGGTCGAGTCTCAACCACAGTAGTTCCCTCGCGAACTGTTTCCGTAACTATAGATGCAGCTTGAGTCTCGGTTATCGTAACCTTCTCCGTGACTTTTTCCGTCACCTTCTCAGTCTCAGTAACGGTGACCTTTTCGGTGACCTTTTCTGTAACCTTTTCGGTGACAGTGGTGGTGCCGCCAGGAGCGCTTCAAGTATGTTAGTAAAAGCTATTTGAATAACCAATAGTGACTTACCAAGATTGAGTTGTCTCAGGTGGCTCAGTCGTGGTAGGAGACTCAGGAGATTCAGTAGTGGTTGTCGGAGGCTTAGGGGCCTCAGTGGTAGTAGTTGGGGGCTCATACGGCTCAGTCGTTGTAGTGGGAGGCTCAGGAGCTTCAGTAGTTGTAGTAGGAGGCACGTAAGGCTCGCTTGTGGTGGTAGGGGGCAACGGGGCTTCACTCGTTGTTGTTGGAGGCGCAGGAGGCTCCTCGCTGGTGGTTGAGGGCCCATAGGTTGGAGGCGGAACTACGGTGTAAGAATCTGTAACAACCGGGGGCGGTGGAAGCGGCTCGGTGGTAGTCTCAGGCGGTGGAGCTACTGTGGTTGGATCGTTGGCAGGATAGCTGTCTGTGATAACTGGGGGAGGAGGAACCACCACGGTCGTCGTCACGGGTACAGGACAGCCACACTTAGCATCCCAAACCACCATTGTGCCGTCCTCTATGTATGGGGTTCCTGTATCGGCCCCGGCAACACTGGTATCGTCTTTTTCAACCGGCGCGGCAGTGGTGACTTGAGGTGCCGGAGCCGGTGTTGTTTCTGGCTCGACCTTGGCTGCAGAAGTCTGAACTTCGGGAGCACTGGCGAAGTAACCATCTTGAGCGGGCGCCTGTGTATTGGCAGCAGCAGGTCGGAGGCTTGCTGATTCACTCCTTCGATAAAGGCCTTCTCCCGCGTTCTGAGCTGGAATCTCAACAGCTACAGCGCCTAGGGCACTGAATAATAGTGAGAAGCGCATGACAGGCAACCGCCTTCAATGCAATGAGTGAGTGATACCAGCGTCAGAGCTGTCTGGAACCAGTAGCGAGTGTGGTTGAAACGAACGTCAAAGTCCAACTCTTCTTGGTTGAGATGTTAGAAAAGGCCAAACAAAGAGATTCAGTGCATTGAGCTTGAAGAAGTATCACAGATATATGATAGAGGAGCAGGGACTGGGTTGGGGGCTGAGCAACAGAGGAAGCCTTACCAGAAACCGGCAATGCGGATTTTCAAGCCCACCACATACATCTACATCCACAAGTAGAGTTAATTTGCCCTGGTAAGCCACTCCGGGGTATAGACGCGGCAGGGAAGCAGCTGAGAGAGCCGAGTTGCGGGTCGATGTACTCCGTAAGAGCAGAGCCGATTCACCAGGTGGAAAGGTTTGTATGTAATCAAACTCAACAGCCAAGCGTCAGCCAAATCAAAGAGACCCTAGTCTGGTCACCGAAGAAAAGATGACTTATTAAGACAAAGAGCAAGGAACATCACGAAAGGTCCATTGAGAGGGAGTACAACACTGTAGCTAAAATGTGCTGGAAGAGTTTGTGGGTACCTCGCCTGAGCTTGCTGACCTTGAGCCATCCGTAACATGAGCAACAATGCATTTACATGCATAGAACATGGATGAGAACAAGGGTCTGACAGGGGTATACACATTAAGATATGCCCCATTTGAGGAAGCAGCACGACCTTTGAAGGTCCACTTGAACAAGGGCCTTGTTCTGATGTCTCGGAGAGACTCCAATATCACGCACGTACACTCTTAGATCCAGAGCTGCGGGCCGTGAAGGGGCGGAGAAGTGACAATATCACATCACAACCCACGAGGGTTGTGCTGACAACAAGGCCACCACATGACAGACAAGATGGAATATCTGACATGGTTTGGGATTAGATAGAATTGACCGAAAATTCATCGAACGGTGCTCCGCTCTCCGTTGTTTTCTTCAGCCTGAAAGCCAAGGCCTGACCCGCAAGACTGTGACGTTGGCATGAGGGAGGAAGTTTGCGGAGTGGTCTGTGATAATAATAGACAATGCAGCAGAAGTGTCACCGATTCGATGTGAAAGGTACGCCAATGATGCTGTGGCTCATAAAAAGCCGGATCTCAGAGGATGTCGACGGCGTTTTGGGTGTAGAGGGGTTCAGAATTTCCCGTATTAAAAGTGCAAAATTGGCCAGTCACATTGTGATCGAGGGAGTCATTGGCTGTAAAACTATGTTGCGTAAACAGCAAAGCATAACAAGTGCGGCACACAAAGACATGCTTGCGTGCGTGCGTGCGTGCTTGGGAGTTGGATGTCAAAGATTGAATGTGGAGAGGCCTCAATAGAAGTTGACTCGTCGAGCGAGTGAGGTTGAGACGGCAAGTTCGAGGCTCACTCCTTCGGAACCAAGAAAGCCAAGTAGAGTTAGTGGGTGGCTTGTAATAGTGAAACGGGCGGGCAGGTAGACGCCTCAGCCTGAGTCTCAGGGCATCTCGTGATGTGATTGGTGGGAGTCTAAACAAAGCAACCCAATCCAGGGCGGAAGTTTTTGCTTTGGTCCAGCCCTGTGAGAGCGGGAGAGAGTGGAGACTCCCGATTTGGTCACTTGTCACTGATTTACGATCCGTTTTAACACGGGCGATCATTGCACGAGTTTTGTCTCTGGAAACACTGAAATATTGAATAAAAATCCTGTTTCTTCATGAGACGGAGAAAAAAGAATGCAGGTTCTGTACTAAGCGCTCGCGTACCTGACTAGGTATGTGTAGAAAGGATGTCTGGTCTGGTCTGTCTGTCGGTCAATCGAAGGTTGGATACCAGGATAATGAAGCTAAAAGCTGACTGCCCGCTGCGATCCCCACTGTGTCGACCCTGAGCCCCGCTGTAGCCCCCGCCACATGCCGAGCCTTATTCAACTGAAGGCCGGGCTATCACTCTAAGGCTAAGGCTAGAGGTACCTTACCTACCACAACAACAAAACATCCATTGCAATCACGGGTCGATGGTGCTCGGATCAGATATTGTCCTTGGCCGACTTGACGTGTTGGCAGATGAATCATCATCTGAGCCTTTTCTTTGTTCTCTCAAGTCCATCAACTGCCAACCTCAATATCCAAACATTGCCAAAGCCGGATGCTGTGTTGCCTACAGTTCGTCTCTCCCTCCCCCACGCCTGGTCACAACATCGCACCCAGTCTGACATCTGCGCGACTTTCAATTCATCGTGGCCACTCCCTGTGGCTGCGGGGGCCTCGATGAGCTGCGTCCGATATGCAGCGGACTAAGAGACGTGGATGGTTAGGTTGCCAGCACAACACATGAGTTGATGGAGAGATCATCCTTGCAGTGCAAAAATAACACCCTTTTCTGTATGGACGGAGGCTCTCTTCTCCTTGGCTTCACGGAGAGAGGGTCCGATGGGTGAGATGTGGTCTCGTTGCATTGTCTCCCCCCGACGTGTGTGCCAGTGCTTATTTTTGGCAGGGATGTGGATGGTAAGATCGGCCATGTCAGTCCAATCTCGGATAAGCCCAGCCTCCAAAGTCTCTTTACCCGTCCTTCGACGGATGGCACTTTTGGATTTGCACTTTCTTCTTGCGACTCTGACATCTCTGCTAGAAAGAGCTAGTTGTTCCATCCGGTCATGTCCGTGTCCGCGTTCTGTCGCAATAGGGAAATCCGGTGCTGACGAGAAAAACCACAGAAGACAAGGCAAAAGTCTTTGCCCAGAGCCTTATCCTTATTCAACCCGATCGACTGGTCCAATCAACTTGAAACCTCATGCGAGATCGCCGTGATTCCAACTGCCTGGGCCACTTGGCCGTTGTGGCTGTTAATAGTATGTGAAACAAAACACCACCAACGAGCTCCTGTTGGTTCATCTGCTTTTCAGCCATAGCTACTGGTTCTGTGTTCGAGAAAACTTGGCAGCCTGCATCTTGACTCGGCTGTTCATCTTTTCCCTCGACCATCATCGGTTACCGTCCGTCCCATCGGGTGCATAAGCTGAAAGGGCCTGTTCGGAGCAGTGTCTACACCCTGGTCCAGTCCCATGTCGATCCCAGATCAAAAGCTCCTCGAGGTCAGCCCTTAGCAACAGGATACCCACCTGTTTACCGCTCTGAAAATTTCCGCACTTGAAGTGGATGAACCATTTTCAACGGTCAGCCTAGCTCCTCATAATTTAGCGGCAGAATCAGGCTCCAGAGGATTGAGGCTGAGTAGAGAGAGAGATATGGAGTGATCCTGGTCAAAACTTATGTCCTTACAGAACGGTGTCAGCTCGGAAGCATAACCCTGACCGTAGCCAACGCATGCAGAGCATGCTGCACCGCAGTAAGATGGTGTCCATATACGCATGGGCAACCACCGAAGAGCATGGGTGTAGCCCAATGGCTCTTTAAACCTCTAACCGACGAATCTGCTGTCTGGACATGAGGAACAGCTGATCCCTCAGCCCTACCCATTCCCCATTCCCCATCCCCTCCGATCTCAACTGGTCTCGGTGGCGAACGTTTGCTCTACAGAGAATACTGTACACTTGGCTTCCAATCTTGATATTCTGTCTTACAGACCGTTTTGGATTCTCTCTATACCGTTTGGATTCTCATCTTACCATCGTTTTGTCTTGGCGTCTAATTCCTTGATCCTTGCCCGTTCATTCTACTTGCATATTGCACAAGCCCACCAAGCATCGAGCTGCTCCGACACTCTAGTGATCTTTGATTCTAGACCGAGGCTGTTTCTTTGTTCAATAGGGATTGCTTACCTTCCCAAAGTAGCCTTGTTACCTGTGTACACTTTGCCTCCCAGCGGGTATTCGGTCTCTTTTCCGGCCGTTGAGAGCGTCTTCAGGACAGAATAAGCAATGGTCCACTAGCATCTTCTTGCAGTTAATATCTTTCAAACGCCTACTCTGTGCAACGCCCTCTGAATAATTCATGATTGCGGTCATGATGTTTAGAAACGCTGCACCGTGGGCATTCCTGGCCGCGGCCATATGCCCAGCCGTAGCACAGTTTGATGCCTGGCAAGATGGCCAAATCAGCACTGAAATATGTATTTGGAAACAACCAAGAGGTAAGACTATTGTCTGTTGATCTCATTAAAACATTGTCTAATGTCTAAGCAGCAATAATGATTCGGGATATGGTGTATCTAGATGGTGGTGATATCAAATGGACTGCACATATGAATGATGGCAAAACTATTACAGGACTTGACACAGGTTGGTCATTCCGGTCTATTGATCTTGTGCAAACTAACAACCCAAGGCAACAATGAGGGTATTATCCTCAACTTCAATCTGAGCACTCCATTTAATACGACGACGAATGTGACGCAGATTCTTCTCGACAAACCAGCCATGTCAAAAGCACGAGGCGGCTCAGGAAACAGTAACGGCGCTGCACCCAACTTTATCGACGGCGCTCTTCTTGGCAATGATGCTGAATTCTTCCTTTACGGCGGCGATCTGTTGCGAAACGACGACTTGTACCAGGCACCCGATAAGGATGAAGTCTTGGGCTACCAGGCGTACCAGTATGGACCGGACAAGCCGACATGGAGGCCAAGTTTTGTTGATGACAAGCTGGACAAAGACGTCACTAGATACGTCGCGTATGGAGGGGCTGCAAATGTACCGTCTGAAAGCCTCGCGTTCTATTTCTCTGGACTGAGATCGCCGACATATGGAGCTTTCTTCACGAACGATCCCAAGAATAAGGCCACGAATGTTTCCGACACGCTGATTACCTTGAACATGGAGGAGCAGCTCTACGAAACTTGGACCAACACAACATTGAAAGGCCCCAAGGGACGTGCCAATGCAGAGGTCGTTTGGGTGCCTGTGGGCAAGAAAGGTATTCTCGTTGTCCTGGGAGGTGTTGTCTATCCTGAATGGGCAGGACGAAGTGGAAAATCCGCCAATGAGGCAGAGAGTGTAAGTCATATCCAAACTTGCATCGATGTGGAAGTGATACTGACACTGCACGATGACAGGAGAAGCAAAGCCCTGGGTTTATGCAGACAATCGACGTCTACGACATAGACAGCAAGAAGTGGTACAAGCAGGAAACCAAGGACGGTCCAGGTGCACGAACTCGAGGGTGTGCCGTTGTCGCCACGGCTTCGGATCGTTCAAGTTTCAACATCTTCTACTATGGTGGATTCGACGGTATTCATCCTCTGGACGCTTACAGTGATGATGTCTGGGTGCTCTCATTACCATCCTTCACGTGGATCAAGGTCAATGAAGGAAAATCCCTTCATGCTCGCGCTGGACACAAGTGCTTCATGCCATACCCTGACCAAATGCTTGTCTTTGGTGGTTACACGTCTCAAGCTGGAAGTTCGATTACTTGTCTTGACCAGGGCCCAATTGTGAACTTCAATGTCACCAGTGGACAGTGGTTGGATGGGTATGATCCCGACGAGTACAGTGATTACGGCGTTCACGAAAAGATTCACTCTGAAATCGGAGGTAATGCTAAAGGTGGCGCAACGGCGACTGCCCCTGCAGACGGCTGGTCGGCATCTGCCCTTGAAGACATCTTTGGCACTAAATACGACACCAAGAAGATCAAGGAATACTGGCCTTACACCAAGGTAGTCTCAACAGGCCGACCTCGACTCGATAGCGGCGACAACAATGATGATGATAACAAGAGCGGCGGCTCTGGTCTTCCAAACTGGGTTGCGCCAGTTCTTGGAGTCGTTCTTGGACTGATGTTCGTGACTGGTATTCTCGTTGTCTTCTGCCTCTGGCGCCGTCGTAAAATCTTCAAGAATAGATCAAGCGACGACGGTACTGAAGATCCGGGCTCGCGTATCCGTTCATGGATCAGGGGCCAGCACAACGAGAAGGCCCCAACAGTCACAACAGACGAGACCCCGACAAGCCCTGGAACCGAAGTGGCCTTGACTGCGAGATTCGTCGGGTTGTCACCGTCACCGTCTGATACTCCCGCCTATCCTGTCTCTCCCGCCGAGGTGGCTGATACACAAATTCATGAGATGCCTGGTAAGTTGCAACTATTTTCTCAAATGGTGATGAAAATTAATGACAGTTTTAGACACCTCACGACCTCCTGAGCTCCATGACACAGGTCTTTCACCCATCGACATCATCCAAAAGTACTCCCACTTTGCCAAAGACGGCAAGCCTCGATCCATGTCGAATCCTTCTAGCAACTCTTACTCTATAGGAGGGGAACATGCAAGCACCGTATCGAGATCGACAGGACCTCAAGTATCGCAGCCTGACTCTCCCACAGCAGGCCATAATCGCATGACATCAGATGTGTCTGGTGTAACCGAAAGCGACGGGAAACCCACTCGCGTAACATCTGATGTTTCTGGCGTCTCTGAGGGCGATGCATTAGCACTCCGGCATACGGCCGTTCCTATAAGTCCAAGGACCGACGATGCAAGCTTGCCTTCGCCGCCACTTCCCTCTCCTCCTGCAGACTTAACACCCAATTCACCCATTGGTGAAGGCCCGGTATCCCCTGCACCAGTGTCTCCTCCCAGTGCCAGCGAGGCTCCTGGTCGGGACTACATCACAGCCAAGGCCTCAGCAAGCCCTATCCGGAAGAGTATGTTCAAGGAAAGTGATGAGGATATGGGTCATTCTAAGTAGATGATTTAATGTGAGATAAAACCGGAGGATGGCGTTTGAAATGTGGTTTATGATGGAACTTATGGGCATGCATATCAATATTGGGCGGTAGGACATTCTTTCACGGGCTCAGCATTCTAGGAGTACGATACCTTGGTTTAGGTTCATGGCGGATTACACTCGTTTTGTTGCAAAACATTCAATGTCTATATACGTTACTTTTGAGTACCTATATTCATAATATCCAATCCATATGAAAGAACTCTCTGGCCTCTATTTTTTTCGTTCCAGTCTTACCCTGAGGTGTCTTTCGAAAATCGAGGCATTTTTATTCTTTTCCATGCACAAACAACCCCCTTCGCTCATTTTGCTTTGAAAACCCCGCCTAAACCTCAACGAGTTGATCATCTTCATCCTCGACCTCTTCCACTCGTCCATTGGTAGCCTCAGGCTTATCCTCAATAGCCTTAATATCATTCTCTGTCTTGTCCTCGTCTTCCTCATCTCGTGCCAATACTTGCACCAGGCGCTCACAAGCTTCTTGAACGCTTTCATCGTTGACTCGCGAATGGGTCTCACGAATGACAGGATATACCTTAACACGTCGCATAAGATCTCGTCCTTCTCGTGTTGTCGTCAATAATGTGAGTGTCTCAACATGTGTCTGCACATTCTGGTTGTCCGAGTCTCGCTTCTTATCAGGAGGTAGTAGTTGGAGATCGGGCAACATATCCATCGTCTCATCAACATCGTACTCCTCGTTACCCATGATAGGGAGCAGGATATAAGGTAGGATATCAATCTCGTTCTCAGATAAGAATGAAGGGTGGGATGAAACCTCAAAGGCAACGTTCTTGATAGTGCTAGCAACACCTTTTCGTCGAATATCGGACTTGTGTTCGGTGAAAACCTTGAGCTTGGTAATGGGAATGACCTTGTCATAAGATTGCTCTTCAAGGAAGTGCTTTCGAATATCAGCGTGCTTGGAGAGATCGGCGAAAACATAGGCTAGATAGTCAAAGTCTGCGTGCTTGTTGTATGTGCCGTCTTGTCCCTTGACAAACAGATCTAGTAGTTGGTTGAGGACAACCTGGTCTGAGCCTAGTTCTTTTGGGGGTTCTTGCTTTCGCTTGAGGAAATCTTTCAGGCCATCCCACTTGGATAAGTTAGCCACAAGCATGGCTAACAAGTTTGCATTAGGCTCTTCGGGGTTCTAGATGACGTGTTAGCGACCGATAACAAGTCTCTTCAGCCTTTAAACATACCACTATGAGATCGAATACAATGCCGAGGAACTTCTCGTCTTTTGCAAGGAATTCGAGAACCTCTTGGTCACTCGATAAGTTGACCAGCATTGTGATGGCATGTTCGGCAATTTTCTGAGTTATCATTAGTCTCAGGGAAACCCGTTTCATTTTCACAGGACCGACTTACAGGGTGGTCTCGGACTAGAAAACTGAGATGCTTGACTGGTTGGAGATTCTCGGTCTTGAAGATACTGGGTTCTGACAATGAGTAGGGGACGAGGTTCTCGGCAGCAAGCAGACGGATCTGAGCGTTGGGGTTGGCGATAAAGCCCACGAGCTACATTTAACATATGTTAGCCAAGTAGTCATCTTATAGTATATATGGTGACTTGCCTCCTCTAGTTCAGTTGGCATCTTCTCTTCCTGTTATTGTCTTCAATATGTGTTGTTGAAGTGAATTTTTAGAGTTGGTGATGATTTTGGAGGGGCATGAGAGTAGTGGGGGTTAGAGGCCTGAAGCCATCGTTGCTTCAGCAGGACTGGGCATCATTTTTAGTGGTCAGTACGTGAATTTTCAGTTGGACCCACATGCTGAAGAAGTTTCCAGGGTCTCTTCTTGTGTCATCATGGTGGCGGGGCAGAATCAGCCTGGTTTATCATATTTTTCAAGAACACGACAAGGCCGTCGGAAGTTTTGACTAATTCTTTTTTAGCCAGATGTATCAGCTGTTTTAATTTCACAACCATGATATGTATAGCCTCATTTTCTGCTATTCGATAGCAAGAGAATAAGGTGCCTAGTAAAGGAGGACAAGAGATACAATTAGGGCAATAGCACGTAGAAGCTTTTGTATATCGCTATGAAGATAAAAGAGAGCACGTATATATAGGTACAGGAATAGTGTTTCTACCTTCTCAGGCTGAAATACTCTGATATAAGCGATCCAATTCATTAGGTAGTTAGTAGGTAGACAACTTCTCAAGCGAAAGCGGTGAAACACCTTTGTGAGCGATACAGTGCACTAGGCTATTTCGAGCAAGAGGGGTCCTTATCGATAAGGCAAAATTTTTGAAATTCTTCCCAGACTACGACTCCAAGCCCACATTGTGTGCCATCTCCAAGTCAATACGCCCAAAATGCCTAAAGCTACTATTCCCTCTGCCTCGCGGCAGACACGACGACACAACCCTCTCGAGGATGACATCACAGCCACTGGAATTCTCAAGAACAAGTCCTCAAAGAGGAGATCAAATGGCGGCGACGATGAGGAGGAAAACTTTGTCGATGACCGCGCTTCTAGAACCATTCTGCGCATAGGTCGTGAGCTGGCCGAGGAGGAAAATGCTGGCAAGGCGGTCGCCAAACCTACCATTGACACTTTTGGCTACGATTCGCGATTTGACGACGAGGCTGAGGAGGAAAACAAGGTCTATGAGGACGACGAGGCTTGGGGCGAGGATGAAGAAGTTGTGGAAGAGATCGAGGTTGATCCCAGCGATCTTGACATGTACCGAAAATTCATGCCTGATGAGGAGGACGACCTATTGAAGCACGGCTGGGACCTCAAGCCTACTGGAGAGGAGCAAGGGGAGAGCGTCAACCTCGCAGATCTTATCTTGGAGAAGATTGCTGCTCATGAGGCGGCGCAAGAGAGGCGAGAGAACAACCTGGGGCCTCCCGATGAGGAGGACTATGAGCTTCCTCCCAAAGTCATCGAGGTCTACACCAAGTATGTTCCCAATTGGACCTGAAATGACCACTTAAGCTAACAATCCCAGGGTCGGCCAAATTCTCTCTCGATACAAGTCCGGACCTCTGCCAAAGCCCTTCAAGATTCTCCCCACAATCCCTCACTGGGAAGACATTATCGCTGTCACCGAGCCCGACAAATGGTCTACCAATGCTTGCTACCAGGCGACAAGGATCTTCGTTTCCAGCAAGCCCCATGTGGTTCAACGATTCCTGGAAATGGTTATCCTCGACCGCGTTCGCGAAGATATCTACGAAACCAAGAAGCTGAACGTCCACTTGTTCAACTCGCTCAAGAAGGCTCTTTATAAGCCTGCTGCTTTCTTCAAGGGCTTCCTGTTCCCTCTCGTTGGCAGTGGAACATGCACCCTCCGCGAGGCTCATATCATCTCCGCCGTCTTGACTAGGATTTCTATTCCTGTCCTTCATTCTGCTGCAGCTCTGAAGGGTCTATGTGATATTGCCGCCCAGGAGGCGTCTCATGGAACCGAGGGTGGAGGTGCCACCAACATCTTCATCAAGGCCCTTCTTGAGAAGAAGTATGCTCTCCCTTTCCAGGTTATTGATGCCCTGGTTTTCCACTTTCTGCGATTCCGCAGTGTCGACCCTGCCTCTGTTCAAGTTGGCGACGCTATGTCAGGCTTGAATGAAGGTGATGCTAGAACAAAGCTGCCCGTTATCTGGCACCAAAGTCTTCTCGCATTTGCTCAGCGATACAAGGGCGACGTCACAGAAGATCAGCGCGAGGCTCTTCTGGATCTGCTTCTCACACACGGTCACGCAGCTATCGGACCCGAGGTGAGGAGAGAGTTGTTGGCTGGACGAGGTCGTGGTGTGCCGCTGGAGCCCCAGGGCCCAGCATTGGACGGTGACGACACTATGCTCATTGATTAATGGGATTGATGGTATCAACCAACAGCATTTCTAATGAATCAAGACAAATTTGGCGTATGGCGTATTAAAATGGTTTCAAGCTGGTTCGACTTGAGTGGAGATAGAATTAAGTCTGTTGGAGACAAGAAGCCCATCTCGATACCAATTCTATATGATTCTTTTGTTCCAATTCTTTCCTATAAATCTCATCGTGCACTGTCCGCCACCTGCATGCCTTCTACACCTGTGAGCGTTCTTGTTACCCAATTGGGATACTATGAGCTCGTCATTCACAGTATGTGGAAGGAGCAGTGACAACGACTGCCATGTACCTCTACCTAGAAGGCATCGGAACTCCCTCTCCGACCGAATCCGATACTGCCATCGTTCATCCTCCTAAGTTTCTTCCTACTTTGGTACCTATGGAGCAGCTCTCCTCACTAGCATCTTACGCTATACATGCTATGCTCCCTATCCCAACCTCCTAGTTGTCTGTTTTAAGCCATTATGTAATTCTTTTCCAACATCAGTCCTTTTCACCACAGCATTATCGCCCCGAAGTTGAGTACTTCATCTTGACCGAAGGGCGGTCTCGCCCAAACAGTGCTACTCCAGGTTTAAGATGCCGACGCAGTCTCGTTCAGATCCATCGTTGCCAACAATTCGTCATAATATGAACGAGCCCAAGTACGATACCACATTATGAGACCCCGAGCCGCTATACTGATAGCTCTAGTTACTTCAATGTTCCTCATGGAACGACTGCGTCTCCTTCCTATGCCGCCGCGGCGTTCACGGCATCCAAACCAAAATATGAAAACCTAATGAAACACCAGCCGAGTCTTCCTTCAATGCCGGAGAATATGTTCTCGTCTCCTCTAACTTCGAATGTTGCTACGCCTCGGCCAACCTACCGACAATCTTTATCATCCTCTAGTTTCGGCGTGGACCCCCCACGGCCTCCTCGTGACGGGTTCGAGTAGGTCTGGTTCCCTCAAGGATACTGGGCAGAACGTCAACTTATGGTACCACGGAAGAGCACTTCTGGGAAAAGCTTCTTCAAGTGGAGGAACCGCTCAACAAAATCCGCCAGTGAACCAGACGTTCGAGACCTTTCATTCGCATCTCCTTTAACACCCCTTTCAGCGCCA